TAATATTTTATGTATTATTTTATATTTTGTTACAGGAGGCGCCACGTGAATGAACCCTGATGATGAAATTAAGTGGTAACTTTTTTTACGAAACTTTTTAGTATTTTTGATTAGAAAATTTCACCCGTTTTCGAGAAAAACGCAATTGAACAACTCACAAAATATTTCATTTATGAAAAATTTGCTTTGCAGTGTCAAATAATTTGCTGTTAGATTATAGTTTATTATTATTACTATTATTATTATTATTACTATTATTATTATTATTACTATTATTATTATTATTTAACGCCCTGTATCTTATTCCACAGCAATATTTTATTAAGGTATATTTGGACCTATCGCTATATTTTGATACAAATAACCTGCCCTTAGCCTATGTCCCAATAGTTATGAATCACCCTGTATATAAAACATCTTTGTCATCAGCTGAACAAAAAACACAGATAAAAAGGATTGGAGAATCAGAGTAGCTTCTTTATTAACGGACCAAATCAAAATAAATCATTAATTCTAATACTTAAAAAAATCTACTAATAAAAAATATACTTTTAAAATGAACAAAAAAAAAGATATTAATCGACGGTTGGGACAGTCCCAATGGGACTATCACTATCGAAACGACACCTAGTGTTGTAAAATATCAAAATTACTTTTACTCTATTACATTGACCAAGCAATACAGGACGTTGTAATTTTAAAACTATAAAATTGTAATGACTGCTAAAAGTGCTAGGAGGGTAAAATAAGGCTTATATTAAAATTTTTAAAAAGAACACGGTTTTAATAAATTATCCGATCAGGATTTTGCCTAACTACCATGAATATACCCACGCTGACTTCCCGATTACTCACATATTACTCACAATTGCCCTTTACTCACAAAATTACTCACAGACTAGTAAATTACTCACAAATATGAGGAATTACTTACAGATTGGCAACCCTGATGCGGTTAGGTCGATTTAGTGAATGTCAATTTTGTAACTTTGCCTATGGACTGTGCGGCCGTTGAAAGCCACGCGTGTGAGAAAAAATGGATATTCACCCGTGTCTTTTGTGCTATCTTAGGAGTGAAGATCCGAAAGTTCGTCCAAAAAGACAGGTTAAAAAATTTACTCCAGAAATATTGACATCGTGTAAAAGTTATTCAAGTGCTCGGACCAGTGATAACAAGATGTGATGTAACTACAAACAAATATCGTGCGGCCCTGAATAAGACATATTCTAAGGGACACAGGCGGATATAATATACGCTGTTGTTATGCCCATTTCATTATTTTCGTTTTGTTTGCAAAATTATTTACATATCTTTAGAAAGCTAAAATAGTTCAACCTAGTTTCTTGCAACTGAAACCAAAATTTTTTTAAAACATTAGTTAAATCAATTTTAACTAAATTGTATATAATTTCACTAAATTAGATGTAATAATTTTCAATAAATTTCAAAACTTGTTATGTTAAATTGGATATGAAGTATTTTTTTTTTTTTTTTGAAATGAAATGAACAGCTAGCATTTTGTAGACGGAGCATATTACGTTGTTTATTATGTGCTTACAGAGTAGCATACAAAATTTTCATTCATAATTTCATCAAGTTGTTTAGTTGTTAGAATTAATCGAATTTACTTATCATAGACGTACCAATTACGAAAAATATCTTATTATTTTGAATTAACAATGGTTATTCATATCAGCCTTAACAAATCAGGAGAAGATGCAAAATATTAAAATTGTTCCGGGGAATATTTCTAAAAATCTCAAAGTACCTAGTTAATAATCTTATGTAAAAAACGAATTTGTCCAAAAATCTGCATTTTTTATTAAAACCTTTTAAAACAGGTTTTTAAAATGATTCAGTTTTATTGAGCGTTGCCTTAAAGTTTCGGTAACGTTATTCGCAAAACTTTTGATTTTAATACTTAGGTAGGTCAAAAAGTTATTATTTCACTATACAAAAAAATCTTAGAAAACTACGATTCTAAATATAGTTTTTTTTTTTGACTTTGAATAAAGGTTCACGTTTATAATTTTTTTATCAAAACAGCACAAACCATGTAATATTTATCAGAAAATTCAAAATAAAATTTTTCGTACCTACGAATAATTCAGTACATTAAGGATCAATTAAATAAATAAATCACAATAAGAAGCAATACCTCTAAATATATTTTTTAAATCTTTAATTTACTAGTTTCAGCGGATAAACATTCTATCAAAACAGCAAAAGAAAAATATTTAGCACCTAATTTCAAATAGAAACAATTTTTTTACGAATCATTCAGAACATTACTATCAATTTAACAAATAAAAACATTTTGGAACAAATCTTTTACTTGTAATTTTTAGCTATTGCATTCAGGTAGAATTTCCATCAACTACTTTGCTGAAACAACACTTAAAACCTAATTTAAAAAAAATACTCTCTTAAAACTATAATCTATTTATAAAGATTATTTACAGAGGTCCATAAATACATATTGATTACCTACCTGTTTTGAATTCTATTTTTATTTTAATATAGAAAATAGGATTTAAAAAATTACAGGAAAGAGGACAATAAATTGTTAATTTATGAATAAGGGATTGATTCATTGGAAATACCAAAGGTTTACATAATTACGCCGATGTTTTTCTGAAGTTTTGAACGTGTAATTTGAAAGAATATTTACATTAATATTTTTTGCGAGTTTTATAGCGTGACGCATTTTAGTTTTATGTGAAAATTAATAAAAAAAAAATAAAATTAGTTATTTTCTCTTAATAACCTAAAATAATTTTTAAATTTGTAGATTTTCGTAAGTGGGTGGTAGAAAAAATATACTATAGTACTCAAGTGGATTGTCCATATTGACTCTTGTTGCACAAACTGCAATTTTGCAATGTTCTCCCTACCTAGAATTAATATGAAATATATTCGTTCAGTTGAACGCCAATAGCATACGTTTTTGTTTTACAGTCTGTACGTAGATAAGTTATATCCATGTGGATGTAGAAAAAATTAATGTTTGATCCAAGATATTTAGAACAAGTTACTTCTTCCAAATTAACGACGGCAAATTTTATAGAAATGGTATTTTATTTATTTTCGCCCATTTTTTAATCATCTTCAATTTTTTTTATTTAGATAACTTTTGTACGGACCGATTAAACACTGGTACATATTAGAAACATACAAATTCGTATCATATGCAAACAGATGCCTTTAAATCTAAATTTATATATCGTTGAAGAATTAAAAACACACTTAACGAATTTTGCAGCAAACATATTTGTACTACTGTTCAATATATCTAATAAAATACAAAATCTTTCACGGGATTAAATAACACATTATATTATTTAGATAATCTACTTATCCCGTTCTAGTGGTACGCCAATGCAATTTATTTAACACTCCGCTGCGACTAACAAATGTGTAGGGCCCTCAGATTCTTCATAGTCCTCCAGTATATCCCCTCCCTTACTTCACACCACACGTTTTTCCAATCACGAATACCGACATTCGCATACGTGTTTTACAATGTGTCTCACTTTGTTGAACGAAAACCAAGTGAGACAAATCATAAATCTCGCATGCGAATCTATATTCGTGACTCGAGAATACTACCCCTGGCCTTCAAGTGGGCTGATTTTATTGTTGGCATCACAGATATTCTATTTTATGAATGAATAGTTATATCTCTGGCTCGAACGTACCGTGGCCATAAATACAGTAATGCTATCTTGCCAGATACTTGGGATGATGGCACAATAGGCTACCATTCAACTTATTACAAAGAGGTTTCTGTTAAAACAATCACGTGATTTTTGTTCAGCAAATGTGATTTCGTTAAAAAACCATCGATTATTATTAAAACTCACGTACATGTATCAACTTCCTTAGTAACGCCACAGCGACATGTTAGATTACTCAATAACTTCGCATCCTATTTCCAAAAACAAAATTTGTATGTTCTGTGGTTATGGAACATCCTGTATAATCGAAATTATTTTATAATTGTAGCTTCTTTGGAGCTTTTAATAATGAACTAAATCTTCAAGTTTAGCTGTTATTCTCCGAGGAAAAATAATTCGTAATTCTGTATAATACATTTGTCATTTCAGTTAAAAAAAAAAGGTTCCAGTGTAATGAAGTAATTGAAAATCTAAAGAAATTAGTCATTAATTGTTTTCTACATCAACAATGTTTAATTTTTACCTAGTTTTAAATAATAGAACATAATATACGAGGGATGTTCTCTTTCTGCTCAGTGTATGTAGACAATATTTTTGCCACAAATTGTGTCTGACATGTCAGTCTAGTTTAGTTAATGGCAGATTACATAAGTTTAAAGTAATCCTTTCGCCAATAAGTGATATAAATGAACAAAGCATTGTCGGGCTGTGATTTTTTACAATTTCAAGCGTGGCTTAAACTGTAAAGGATGTTTTGAGGAAATCAATTGAGTGCTTGGTGACGAGTCGTGTTCCTTCGCTACCGTAAATCGGTGGTACAATGAATTTCAACAAGGTCGAATTTTATTAAATGACAGTTTTCGAGCTCCTAACCAAAAAACGATAGTTACCGAAAAAAATATTGATTCTTTTCGGAAAATAGTTAAGAGTAATTTTAATGATTGGTGTGAAACCAGTTAACACTCTTTTACACAAACATTTGAAAGTCTGTAAGCTTTGTTCTCGGTGGATTCCCCACAACTTCAATTTGGTCTACATCATCACAGGTGATGAAACATGGAGAAAATGTTTTGAAAAATGGTTTTCGCGGATGCATTGTGGAGGCGAATACAAAATTATAAATAAATGTTTTTTGTAAATAAACTGTGTTTTACTTTATTAGGCTCAACGGAAAGAGAACAAACCTCATATAAACGAAATATAAAATTCTGATTCGTAGATTTGTTTACAACTGAAGATTTTATTGACAAAATAATAAAAAGTAATTTGTGTTTAGGCATTTATTATTTATTTAATTATTTAATTTTTTTTTTTTTTTTTAGAAACTTCGAATGGATCAATCAAATATGACTCTAATGCATCCAACTGGCCCCATCCAACCTCCAACAAATGCTGCCCACCCTAGAAGGGGCAACCGTGGGAAAAGTCATGGTAACCTTCATGGAAATCTGCAAACTGAAAGGCTGTCATTGGGTGAAGAGGCCAAATTGGTAAGTTTTAATAATCAAAAATAGTTTTATCTTATTTTTATATCTACTAGTTTCATAGTAGATTTATGTGCTAACTGTAATAATAGGTACTTTAGTATGTACTTGTGTTGTAAACATTCAGTGTATCTACTTAAATTGGCTGCATATGTAAAACTTTATTGTTAATTTTAAGATACTAAATTATCATTTCTATGAGATTTAACATACAATATGAATTTTGCGCAACGGTGCCTAAAAAATTGTTAGAAGAATTTAAAACTATAATTAAAAATGCAGTTGCAGATTTGTTTGAAGTTAAGAGATTTTTTTTTATCTTATATGGTATGTCTAGTTTGAATCTTAATGTACAGGGGGTCCCAAAATTCCGTGTACTTAGAGCTACTGTATGTTGGTGAGATCAAAATAACTGAATTGAGCCAAAATTACCTATATCACAAAGTGCTTCGTTTGCCTGCCAGGAAGCTTCAAAGTTGAAGTTATTGGTACTGCTAGTCTTCTTTCAGTCATTGTAAATGTTATAAATTGTATGACTTGCATAGCGAAATCTCAGAGTCTTAATATATTTTTTTATATAGTATTTTTAATACAAATCCCGATGCACGTCAGCAATGACGTCGGTCATTCGTCATAGTACTACCAACTAATTAAAATGTCCCTAACTAAGCTAATAATCCGAAAAAGTCACGTATAGTCACGAGCATTCATGAACGTAGTCATATTACTAAAAAGTCGAAAACTGTTATGGTGATTATTTTGATAATTTTAAGAATTATTTAAATTATTTAGTTTATACATGTCTAATTCTTGATAATATAAAATTTATAAAAACATTATTAAATGTTTAGTACTCAAAAAATAATACTTTACATTAAATAATTTTGACATTCTGTACGCCCATGAAGCTCGTATTTATAGAGAAGAAATGTCATTACAGCAATTGGTACACCTTGTTGCGGTGTTGCAACCCCTTTTTAAAAAATTTCACTGATTTAGTTAGGTTATGTTTATGTTATGTTAATTGTGCATTTTGTTTTCTGTAATTTAAAATCCTTTTGCCTGTATTTTTAAGCTTTGCCAGTTATAATTATAAAAAACTGTTTTTCAAAACAACCATAGAGTGTATAAGCTGATTATTTGTCGTTTAATTTTTATATACAAAATGCCTAAAAAACTAAATAGTCCTTGTAAGGAGTTGATAGCTTCTTTAATCCATTATTTTGAATGAGAGCGTGATAATGATGGACCACGTTTACCTTTAACTGCTGTAAGAGAGGTAAGTTACAAGTTATAAAATTTAATAGAAATATGAAATTATTTTCTTGTCTTTTTTAGTGTGTTGCAGCATCTCTAAATAAAAATATTTCTACTGTCAGTAGTATTTGGCAAGCAGTCAAGAATAATGAATGATTAAAATCGCTAATTAAAAAGCATTCATATAAACAAAGGATTACCTACTAATACAATAACACTGGAAACGAGTGGAATCCGAAGTGGTATTTATAATATGTATGAAACAAGTAAGTATAAAGACAAATCTATTTATTCAATCATAATTTATTTATATTACCTATAAAAGTTTTAATTTGTATACAGTAATATAAATACATACTTATTTGCAGGTCAACATATAACTTTGGAACCTTTAAGAGAAAAGTTGATTGAGAGACAAATGTTTAATGGCTATATTGCATCATTGTCAACTGTATTAAAAGAATGAAGGAAAAAAGATAACCAAGACGTGAACTGTAAATAGGTCAGTTTTTAAGAAATTATAGAATTACAACAGAAGCAGTTCGTTGTCATTGATGAAACATGTATCGTCCAAAATGAAACATTAAACAGCTCCTGGGAAAATAATGACAAAGGGTGTTAGACCTACAAAAATCGATGGCAAGAGATAAAACCAAATTTGAAGCAAATTAAGGTATCAGTAATTGTGTAAATCAAGTAAAAAAAAAATATTAATATTGAAATGACACATCATATTGAAGATTTAATGGTAGATACGCTATTCTAACAATCATATAAAGACAATTTAATTGGAAAAATTTGATTACAGTGGTCAATAAACATCTACATGTTTTACACATTTTCAAGATGTACAGTGACACCCAAAAATGCCTTTTTTTTTTCAGAAATAAACTTTAAAACAATATCAAAAAATTAAAAATGAAGTTACAAGATTTGATATAACGGTGTAACATTAAATCATTGATATAATGTGTTGTTTAGATATTACAGTTTAGAATATAGTGATATTGACACACGTTATACGAAATGGCAACTAAATAGAACTAAATAAAACATTCTTTTTTCAGGTGCAAACTGCCAAAGAAATATATGGTAGATAATTACCTAAGCAGAACAATATAGACAAAGTATTACGTAATCTTTCCTGCCATTTTATTTTTAACTCCATTGAACTTATTTGTGACCTTTCTAAGCAATATAATAATAAACATATTGGCAGAGAGGGATTTTTTAATAGATTGGAAATTATTTTTATTATAATTAACCCTAATAGAGATATCGATGACTGCGATTCAAATACTTGCGATCTGGATTAGGAGAAATAAAAGAATTTTATAGGAATAATGAAGATTAGTAGATGAATAATTGTTTTTTTATGAGAAAATAGTGTAATTAAAAAAAAAAAACATTGTCTAATTTTTAAAACAATAAACAGTTTGATATATTTCTTATATATCTGTATTTTTATTTAATTTATTCCAAGATATCAAAAAAATATTTGACTGAGAATAACATTTTTCAAATGTCTTTTGAAGCTGATAGAATGAAGAATCTTGATGTTTGAGTGATGAATCTATTGTTCATACATGTTTCGATAACTTTAGAGTTGAAAAGAAGTAGCGATATCTGTTTATTTTTGAAGCATTTCTGGCTATCTTGAATACTTGAGCTACAGAACCGTTACTGAAAGTGAGATTTACTAAAGCACCTACTCAAATATTTTAACAATTTCCTTCTTGTATTCAAATATTTTAGCATTTTCAAACTTTAATTCTTTAAGTATAGGTATCTACTGATATTATGAATCCTCCACATGCCTTTGTAGTTTTCATTTTTTCAATGACCTCTTTAATTTTATGGGGTGTTGTGGTTTATAACTTAAATGTAGTTCTGTTAAATAACTTTCTTGGTGAAATTAAATTAGTTTTAGATATTTTCTGTGCTAATTCTAAACCAATTTTGATCCATCTGCAATATACTACCTTACAGTTTTATTTTCCATGACTTGCATAATATGTTTAAAGCTTTTTTGTTCAGATGTTTATTATTCATAAAGGAATTCAATATTTTCCGTTATATACATTTAAAACTAATTGTTCCTACTATATAGTAACATAAAAAATACATAACCTTACAATTTTAAAAAATTCTAAATTCCTCAACTATTCTGACGATTAGGCAACACTGCAAGGCCGTGACGTCATAAATGATCTCTGACGTGCATCGGGATTTGTATTAAAAATACTATATTTTAGAATAAGTTAAATAAAAATACAGATATATAAGAAATCTATCAAAGTATTTATTGTTTTAAAAATTAGACAATGTTTTTTTTTTAATATATTCTTTTACTTATAAGAAACAATTATTTATCTCAAACGAATATTACACAAAATCTGTACCACATAAACAACTTTATTCAATTTTTTTGATTAAGCGACTAGTTTCGGCCAACTGGCCATCTTCAGGCCTACAATATAAGAACTTATGTCTAAGGAGAAAAACATACAGATCAACAATACTTACATTCATATATAAAATTATCTTCTACACCAGATTATTGACATTGGACAGAATGAGTTACATGATTAATTAAAAGTATAGATGAAGATTATGTGGTAAACATAAGTAAAATAAATGTTATTAAAGGTTTAAATATTGAAAATTAGGAATTATAATTAACAAGTAATCACCGGTAAGGTGATCAGAAATGACGGGAGTGTGCGACATCCCTGTTAAAAAATTGAGAGGTGATCCAAAGTTATAGGAGTATGTGACATCCCTGTTGAAAGATAAAAGATTAACATGGTCAATTCTCAAATAATTATTTTTAAACCAGATAAAGGTTAAAAGTTGAGTAAATTTAGTAATAATTAAGAGCAAAATTAGAAAATCTCAAAATTATGTCTTGCAAGAATAGACAAGATGGCGGAAACCGGAAATGAAAAAGTAAAATTAAGTAATGTCATATGTCAATGTCAACAATGGCGCTAACAATTTAAATTAAGGTGAACAATAAGTTTATTAAAAAACACAGAAATTTGTTTAAAAGGTAGCAATTAAATTGAAATAAAATAGAAATGATATGGATTAATCATAAGTAAGATATGCCAGAATATTAGAATAGAGATATCAGAGATGGACTAATTAATGGGTAAGTAAACAGGTTGTGCTGTAAAACTGATGAAACGAGGCCAATTAAATATTAGGTTAATGAAAAGAAGAAAAAAGAAGAAAAAGTGACAGTAGAAGTATGAATAGACAAGATGAGAAAAGTAAATAAATGAAATACAATTATGAGAATGTAAATATGACTATTAAAATTGCATAGGTCAAATATGTTTAGTAATTGTGAGGATTAAGAAAGATATAGTTTTCTTTTGTTTGTATCTGTTCGTTAAGGCAGTTGTAATCTTTATTATTGAGTGCTTTGTGGATTTCAGATAGCTCCAATAAGTTCATTCTAGTACCTTTTGTGCAGGGATGAATAAGGGAAACACTAGAAATAGAAAAATCATGGTTGGTTGAAAGTATATGGTTAGCAAAACTAGATTGAGTATTACAGATGTCCGTGCCTTTATACTTATTGATATGATGACAATGTTCGCGGAACCGTGTATCTAGTCTGCGGCCACTCTGACCTAAACAAATTTCTGTGTTTTTTAATAAACTTATTGTTCACCTTAATTTAAATTGTTAGCGCCATTGTTGACATTGACATATGACATTACTTAATTTTACTTTTTCAT